GCAACGGCGTCAACCGTGCCCTTGGGAAGGCTCTTGGCATGGGTCCTGGTGCAAGGAACGAATCGGAATTTGAAAAATGATGTCTACTTGAGAGAATCCGATGAGCTATGAAGCTCTTTTTCTCAGATGTCCAGTGGGGGGACGGGGTAAGAGCGTTACAACAAGCAGTACAACAACATGATAGTAGTGCAAAGTACAAGAAAGGTAATGAAATCACCCAAACGCACACAAATACAACACGAAACCATCCCCATCCTAGCAGGCAAAGCCCACTGAGGTGCTCACTTATTTTTTAGAAGCGACCTGGCCACAAATGATCGCTTGAACAAAGTGACCCATTATTTGGACATTTATAGGACCAAAATATATCTAAATTGATCTTAAACAGGGCCCCCCCCTGTCTAGCTGTTTTTACCTCTGCTCTTTTGTAACCTGGTGCTTGGGCCCCATCCGGCCGGTGCAGTTGCACCACCTGCGCACTCGAAAGCGATGCCACTGCCGGTGACTGCCATGCCATGACACGTGCTGTGTGAACACGACTCGGCCAGGTGCTGTAGGTCTGGGGTTGCTGGGTGCGGTCAGGAGATGGCAGTGCTGCTGCGGTAAACTCCGGTGCACGTGGTGGGTTTCCCCAACCACTCTTAGTTTCATATTTCGTGGAATTATCCGAACATATTTCTGGTGGGGGGGGTGGAAGTATTGAGACTCAGTGATGCTCTGCTGTGTAAATAAATGGCATTGTAGTTCTTCAATAGTTTTTTTTTTACGTATGTGCCCCTCGGCTTTACACAATGTGCTCTGAACCTAGCCACCCAATTGCAATAACCGGCCACGGCTAACAATAGCGACGAGGGATAACTGAACCGGTTTTAGGCCTCCTTTACGCCCTCTCACCCTCCATGACCGGCAAGCAGTAGAGAAGCCTTCATCCAGCAGTGAATAGGCCGTGCCAATTGCTGATTATAAAGATTAAACGCCTGACTTTGCTCAGACAGTTACTTTATTTCGGATAAGATCCATTGACCTAAGAAGCTCTTCGTCAATGCTGATGAGCCCCAGAAGAGTGAAACTGGTCCAAAAAAAATTGAATAGATGCCGCTTCTCAATGCAAGTCCGCAAAAGAGCAATGGACCTATACCCTTAAAAAAATACGAATACTTTCACGTAGCATATATGTATGGAACGGAAGGTGTGGCTGATTTGGAATAACCAAAAGATGAAAACACTTTAGGTCCGCACGCCAATAGCCATCCCAGGTACACAGTCTCTGCTGCGTATTGCTGCTGCCACCCTACAAACAGATGCATGCGTAGGGAGCCTGCCGTACACGGGCGCTCTGCTTGTGCCGGTTATTTAACCCGAGTGCAACTCTGCAGCCTCCTTCGTTAAGTTCGTCCCATGCCATTTCCTTCGGTTCACTCATTGTTCATTACCAATGGACGTCATAATGACAGTCATTATTATATCAAATAAAATCCAGGACACTCGAGCAATTGTTCTCAATCTTTTTGGTATGCCCCCCCCCCCACCCCAATCAAGACCACTGGATCCTGTGCACCCCCCTCCTCTCCCGTTTACTACGGCCACAACAACCAGATAGATCACATGCCCGCACCTCTAGTCAAGGAGGCGTTCGTCTTGTGTTTTCGAATGACGAACGTTTGATGAGGCACGCTCATTTATTTCACGTTGCGCGCGAGTGCGTCGCGTCGCCGCATCGTGACGCTGACGTTTCCCTGCTCACGTTGGAATTGCCTCCCTGCACGGTATCCACGCTGCAGGCTACGCCCCCACAACCACCCCCCCCCACCACCACCTCCCCCATCCCCTCCCCTAAAATGTTGAGAACCGCTACTCCCTGGAGTAAGTTGCTACTGAACATCGCCTCTTGAAGCTATCCGGCATGCGTGCGCGCGGAACTCGACATCATCATCGTCTGTGTGTGTTGGCTATGACGTGCGCTCAGTGGGTTTGCTAATTGCTCAACACCACAACTCATAACCTCTGCTCGAGTCACGCAAACGAAGGGGGGGGGGCAATGCACGCAACGCGCGTGTGCACGTGTGCACGTGTGCACGTGTGCACGTGTGCACGTGTGCACGTGTGCACGTGTGCACGTGTGCACGTGTGCACGTGTGCACGTGTGCACGTGTGCACGTGTGCACGTGTGGGGAGCGGTGGCGCAGTCGTTAGCGCGCATCGCTTATGAACCCTTGCGACCCGAGTTCGATTTTCATGCTCGTGGCCAACGACAAAGATTATTATTATTATTATATCGGAACCCGTCATGGGCCTCCCGAAACGTCGACTCAGCCTCAAATGAGTACCTGGTGCGGTGTGTAAACATCGCTACAGGCGGGGACAAAGGCGGTCGGGCGTGGCGCTGGCCACCCACCCTCTCGTGTACCGTGCCGGCCTTCATAGGTGCTCGCTAACAGCACTTGCCACAACAACAGTTCAAGGCTATAAGGGGGATCTTTACCTTGGTACGCGTGGCGACAAAGTCAACATGAAAGCGGTAGAGCAATGTGTCTGGTAAGGAAAAGGACATAGAGAGAGAAAGGAACGCGTGAGGAACTGTAGATCGTAATGTGAAGCGTGCATAATGCCAGGCACGTGCCAGAACTGACAGGTTCGTCTGTGGTCGAGTCTGTTGAGGTGTGTGTTAGTGTGTCTGTGCATGCATGTGTGAGGTTGTAGGCGCCGCGCTAACAACACTTGCCCCGTAAGTCTGTGCAGCCTATGCTGGTGGTCTTTGTCTTTATATATGTGTGGGCATTCGTGTGTGTTAGTTAAGCCATAACACCTGGATCCGCGTTGTGACCTCCTGCCAGCGCACGTAGCCTGGCACAAGCGCATCCCTTAGTGGTGAACGACTGCTGTTGTTGTTGTGCGTGTCTGTACGTGTGGTCTGTCCACGGGGAGCGGTTAGCGCGCCGCGCTACGAACCCGGCCACCCCTGTTCGAGTCCCGCCCACGGCGAACACCAGCGACGATTTTATTATCTGAACCGGTCCTGGGCCACCCCTAGGTCGATTTAGCCTAAAATGAGTACTTGGTGCGGTGTGGAAACATCGCCACGAGGGAGACAAAGGCGGTCGGGCGTGGTGCTGGCCACCCACTCCATCGTGTGGCGTTCCGGCCTTCATAGGGACTCGCTAACAGCACTTGCCCCAACAGTCTGTTAAGGCTATATGGGGGGTCTTTGTCTTTGCACCCACTCCTGTGTATACGCGTGCGTGCGTTACAGAGAAGTGGGGGGCGGGGGCGATAGTGTCGTGGTTAGCGCACTGCATTACGAACCCGTGGATCCAAATTCGAGTCCCGCTCACAGCATAACCACCCGTGGGCCTCTCCTAGGTTGACTCAGCACTAAATGAGTGCATGAACGGTGCTATACGTAAATTATCAGCACCGGGGGAAAGAAAGGCGGCTGGGCGTGGTGCTGAATCACAGTTCCTATGATCACTGTTACATTGTTTTTATAGCTTTATTTGGGTGATTTCGAAAACGTTTTGGCTGAGCCATATTTGCTTCATAATAAAGGTCTTTGGGTTAGATCGCGTTATTTATAAATGTGTCGTAACCCTCCACCACCCGACATGGCCAATCAGCAAAAAAAAGTGTCACGTTGACAAAAGACAATTAGTTCACTACTTTAGCCCGACCGGTGTGTTGAAGAGTGAATCCACAACACACCGGTGCTTGATGTAGTACAGATATTAGACTGATAACTTTAATCTACATTGTCTTGTGGTTTTTTATGGTTTTGCACATAGCATTGATATACGGTGCTTTTTCTGGAAGACTTTGCTGTTTTTTTTCCTGGATTTTTCTGTTGCGCGTAGTCACTTTAAGATGTTTTCTTGTTCATGTTTTTGTTTGTTGCGGTTGCACCCGATTCAAGAGCCGAATGGCTCACAGGGCTCTATACCTAATAAATACACTGAAACTGTGACCACACACGTGTCGGCGTTCATATATGTGCTCGCAAACAGCACTTGCCCCAAGTCTATGAGAGGAAACACGGATAATTGTTGTATTTTGACCGTCAAAGAAGTGCGCTTTGCGTCTTTAACTAACTTGCATGAGCGCGCGCGCGTCTTGTTCGACGCTAAGCACGTGGGCGTTCACGTGTGCGTGTGTGTGTATGTTTGTGTGTGTGTTCCCTGTGCGTGTGTGTGTCTGTGTTCCCTGTGTGTGTGTGTCTGTGTTCGCTGTGTGTGTGTATTCCCTGTGTGTGTGTGTGTGTTCCCTGTGTGTGTGTCTGTGTTCCCTGTGTGTGTGTGTGTGTCTGTGTTCGCTGTGTGTGTGTGTCTGTATTCCCTCTGTGTGTGTCTGTATTCCCTGTGTGTGTGTGTTCCCTGTGTGTGCGTGTGTCTGTGTGTCCCTGTGTGTGTGTTCGTGTCTGTGTTCCCTGTGTGTGCGTGTGTGTTCTCTGTGTGTCTGTGTGTCCCTGTGTGTATGTGTGTCTTTGTTCCCTGTGTGTGTGTCTGTCTTCCCTGTGTGTGTGTCTGTCTTCCCTGTGTGTGTGTGTGTTCCCTGTCTGTGTGTGTGTGTCGTGTTCCCTGTGTGTGTATCTGTGTTCCCTATGTGTGTGTGCATGTATTCCCAGGTGCTCGCTAACAGCACTTGCCCCTACAGTCTGTTAAGGCTATACGGGGGATCTTTGTATTCCCTGTATGTGTGTGTCTGTGTTCGCTGTGTATGTGTTCCCTGTGTGTGCGTGTGTGTGTATGTGTCTGTGTTCCCTGTGCGTGTGTGTGTATGTGTCTGTGTTCCCTGTGTGTGTGTTCCCTGGGCGTGTGTGTGTGTTCCCTGTGTATGTGTCTGTGTTCTCTGTGTGTGTCTGCGTTCCCTGTGCGTGTGTGTCTGTGATCCCTGTGTGTGTATGTGTCTGTATTCCCTGCGTGTGTGTGAGTCTGTGTTCCCTGTGTGTGTGTGTGTTCCCTGTTCGCGTGTGTGTGTTCCCTGTGCGCGCGTGTGTGTGGGCACACGCGCGCACAGGGCTGGGGCTCATCAGCGTGGTAGGTGCGACGATGTTGCGTCTCTGCGCGCTTTGAAAATGCGTGCGTCTTAGGCCCAACACGTGGAGGCGGGGCTGACGTAAGTAAAGGGAACGGTGCCTCACGCGTGATTGATTAGCCTTGGGTTATAAAAGCCCTTCGGGGCGAGATGGGAGGGTGGTCTCCGCTGACGGACAGTAGTGAGGCAAAGAAAGACAGAGAGAGAGAGAGGAGGAGGAGGATAAGGGAGGGAGGGAGGCTTGCAGAAAGAGTGAAAAGGGAAAAGCAAGATTGAATGAAGCAGGCGGAGAGAAGCAAAGCAGAGAGTAGCGCGTAGAGGGTTGGAAGGACAAGGAGACATAGACACGAGAGGACAAGAGGAGATTCACACGCGAGAAGATTGAGACAGTGCGCGCGACTGGCACAATCTCGTCCGCTAACTTATGTGCAAAGTGCAGAGAAACATCAAAGGGCTCGCTCAGTATGACTGGGTTAGCGCAATAGCCGTCAGACCTGTGTTACAAGACTGATCATTACGCACAATAGTTAAATTGACACTTCGTACTTACGACTCGTATTATTATTATTAATCCTTCTGAATTCATAAATCAAGTACATTTCGTTGGTTCCTTCCTCGCTAAACTAACCAGGGAGGGGTGGGGGGGGGGGGGGGTGGTGGTGGTGGTGGTGAGGGAAGTTGCCAGCGTCTCTCTTCAAAAGGAAACGGCATCAACATCAACAACAACAACAAAAACCGAACCCAGGTAGTGGCCATGCGCACAGCCGAGGCAATGACGCTCTTCGTCTGCCTCCTCGTCGCCGTGACCCCGGCGCGCACCGCAAATCGTTACGGACGCTACAGCCGCTATCCCAGGCGCGGCCCCACGGTGCTCCCCACGGGCACGGGCGGCGGCTGCGTCCCCGGCGTGGGAGTCGAGACGCTCTACTTCAGCGGACAGAGGGAGCAGCTGAAACTCAAGGGCGGCACGCCGCTGCTCTTGCGAACGCAAGCAGCCTTCACCGTCGAGATGTGGATTCGGCCCGAGGGAGGGCAGCACTCGCCGGCGATAATCGCAGGTGAGAGACTTCGATCAGCTCACCGGTGCTCTATCCCGATTCGCAAAGACGCCGCCGTGAGTTGGGTTGAGATCGCGCCGGAAATTAAGCTGTTGGTCAAAGTTGTACAAATGTGATCACGCACACAAACACACACACACCACAAAGACACGCAGACACATAGCTACCGGTTTATAAGGCGCATCCCCCGCCCCACATCACCCCGCAAACTATTGCTTTAGAATTCAGGGACAAAAAAGTGAGTATTCTAATCCAAAGAGTACGGTAAATGTATTATCTCAACGTAAAATAAATACGCTATTTTTTCTTCCCTACGATGTTTGCCGGTTTTACTGCGTGTTGCTCGGCATGATGTCCGACGTTTCGTTCATCGTCATCGGAACTTATTTAAGAACTGAACGCAAATAGCCAACTTTTTTGGCCTCGCGATTATATATCGCGTTGAAAGATTTTGTACAGCGCTGCTCAATTCAGTGAGCCGACGAAACTCCCGGCACGTGGAGCGAAACGTCGAACATCACTTGATTCAATCCTTGAGCACACATGCAGCACAACAGCGAACACCCACTCGGTGCGTTTTGTTTTCATTAAGTCCAACAACTGACTGGACATCCGCTCCTACGTTTAACGAGAACCGCCTGCAGGGTGTCGCACACATGGAGCTCATCAGCAGTCCTCGAAGTTGAATGCAATTTCGCATCGTCGTCATCATCAGCCATGATTAATCCACTGCTCTATTAAAGCATCCCCAAACGTTTGCCAACTCTCATGATCCTGCGACGAGACAATCCAGCGAGCGCCTGCGCGTGAGCTGATTTTATCGCTCCGTCTCCTCGAACGGTGTCCGCTCGGATGCATTCCATCTATCGGTTGCCGCTCCATGATTATTTCTGACCTTTGTTTGTTTCAACGGTGTCTAATACAACGAGGTATCTGTGGTCAGAGACATGGGTGTCATTCCGGGTTCACCAATCGCATCGAGTACTGTCATGAGTTTTCACTTAATTTGGCAACAAACAAAAAAATTCCAGCTCTGAGAATTCGAAAAAAATACATTTAAGGATTCCACTGCCTCGCACCTCTGTCTATGGTGGATAAGAGGTAACTTGAATGGATCTCAGACTTGATTTGAAGCTTTCGTGTCTGCAGGAATCCATACTTTTTGGTTCTTTCGGTAAAGTCACGTAGGTAGAAAATTAATAGATGACGACGTTTCGATCGCAACACAAGCGACCGTCTTCCTCTCACCTGAAGACGGTCGCTTGTTTTGCGATCGAAACGTCGTGATCTATTAACCTTTCTATCTACGTGACTTTACCGAAAGAACCAAAGAGAATGGATCTCAGACTGTTGTTCTGCGATGTTTGCTTCCGCGGGCCGTTGCATGACACGACGGGATGATGACACCGCTCGTTGCGAGATGACGTCGACGGCACAAGTAGGGGGGGGAGGACATAACAGACAGGCAAATGAAAATGTCGTGACTCAACACAAGAAAGCGTACGCAATAAGATCGACCGAAACTACCGTGGTGTTGCCGAAGCCGAGTCGGTGGCCGACTGAGTGAGCTCATGGCCTTGAGCACGCCGGGTGCAATTCTCGGTCAAGGTGGTCTATTTAATCAATCATACCTCGGGAGTTCAGCAAAAATATCATCGTTTTGTAAATTGTGAGAAGTTAACATAGCTTATTATATGGACATACTGATCCCCGTCAGAGCAACGTGGACTTTACAACAATTGCTCAGGACTTCCAATAGAAGACTGAGCGGGCGATTATTGTGAAAGCGTGTGGACGTGCGGAAAAAAAGTCACACAATTCTATTGGGTCGATACAATTGGTACCCATTTATGGGGTTGTTGAGAAGTTTTTCGTCCTATTCATCCAATCACCACCGCTGCTCATGGCTCTGCACGGAAGACCGGCGTCTCTCCACGCTTGCTCGAGCAGTAAACCTCAACCGACCTTGAACACGATGCATGACACAGGACCCGACATGTAAAACGGAAAGACGTCGGATGAGATAAGAGTATCGTTTGCCTTTTTAACGGCAGGTCTCTCACGAAAACGAAACTTGCGACTCCGCTGCAGGTGAACGCTCCCCCCCCCCCCCCGATTGTAAATACGCCTTTTCCTCTTACTCTGCGTGCATGGCGTTGTACACGGAGACCAATGGTACACCATTCCCCTTCAAATGGTCATCGTTAACATCGGCAAGGCTCTTCCTTCCGCAGGTTGAAAACGCGTACACACAGGCCACGCAGATCATAAGTCACGTCAAAGTGATTTCCTGCTCGAATGAGCAATGATGCGGTGCTCGGGCATGGAGGCGATGGTCGTAATTCCACATTCTTATGACGGGTCCATATGATAACAAATGTTGACTTTTATTGGACATGCAGGACTACATGATCACGTAACAATCGTTCATCTCTCGGCATTTTTGTCCTCATCATACTACGGTTGCGTTTGACAGCGACGTACATGCAGCCTACATCAAACTAATGTAGAGCACAGTCAGGTATCATCGTTACTGACAGGCGTACCCTGTAGCGTAGTGCAAGTGCCGTGCGTCAAATAATCCCTGAGCCTGAAAACGAAGATCAAGTTGACAGCCGCTTTCGCTCTTGTTCAACGTGGCACGGGTTCCGATTCATGGATTCTCCTCGCACGCGGTTTTTTCTTTTCTTCTTGTCAACAACGGCAGTGTCTCTTGCGTTGCTTCGTCTCGTTTTAAAATCTGCCGCGCGTTTCCGCCCTTGCGAATCAGCGACGGCGTGCTGCGGTTTGCTCGAGCAGAGAGAGGCGTTGGGCGCACTCGTTCGCGCCTGTGTGAACGTCATTCATTGCACGCGCACACGTGCGAGTGAGTGGGTGACTGAGCGGGTGCGTGCGTACACCGAAAGGGGGAGCGGTAGTGTAGCGGTTAAGCGCGCTGCGCTACGAACCCAGCGGCGACCCGAGTTCGATGTATATATTTGAAACGGTCATGGGCCTCCACGGGGTCGACTCAGCCTTAAATGAGTACCAGGGGCGGTGTGGAAACATCGCCATTGGGAAGACAAAGGCGGCCGGGCGTGGTGTTGACCACCCACCATCTCGTGTACCGTGCTGGGCTTCATAGGCGATACTCGCTAACAGCACTTGCCCCAACAGTCTGTTAAGGCTATATAAGGGATCTTTGTCTTTGCATGTGTGTGTGTTGAGGGTGCGTACAACGTGTGAGTGTGAACTGGTATACATGCGCGTGGATGCGTATGTGCGTGTGTGCATTCACACGCATTCACGCGCACGTATACGTGTGTGTGTGTTCCCATGCCCATCTGGGTGTCAAAACGACCCTCCCTATCCAAATTTCAGAGCTCTGGTGCCGAGGCGCTCGGTTCTTGTTGGCCAGTGCCTGTCCAAAGTCGAACGGACACGACAGTGTGGTGACACAGTGTCCTCTCTGGACACGAACAGCTGTCAAACTTTGGAACGGGAAGCTCACCCGCGACAGATGACCTTTTTATTGTTTCATTTGACTTTCTCGAGTTTCTGTTTTGGCCACTCAAGGAGACAATCGGGGCGCGTTGAAAGCGCCCCGTTTTGCCGTGACATCGCGTGCTCGGTTTGTAAGCAGAGTTGTTGCGAACGAGCAAAGAATGACGCTTACCACAAAAACTTAAAAGCAAAAAAAAAAAACTCCCGTGCGCACTATTAGACGTTACGATCAATCGCTGATAACGAGAAGCTACTATTGAGACCGGCACGGCCCACGAGTTGGGTGGTGTGGCCATCGCCAGGCACGGCCGTCTTTGTCTTCCCAGTTCTCATTCATGGCCGAGTCGACCTAGGGGGAAGTCCAGGACAGGTTCAGACACGCGCACGCGCGCGCACCCCACGTGTTAGCCGTGCCCGGGAGGAAACGAGAGAAGCGCAGTGCGCAAACCGCTACACCACGGCTCGCCCCAAACGTACAAAGGAGGAACGTCTCGCACCACAAACAGTCTCTGATAGACTGTTGGAGCAGGCGCCTATTAAGGTTCGCATAGCGTGAACGAGGGGTACGATGGGGCGAACACCCAAACCCATCCGCCCGTGGTCTCCGTATTGCATATGCCACGAGGGGGTGGGTGGTGTGCATCACGCTCGGCCGCCTGTGTCTTTCCAGCGACGAACGATGTAATCGTCGCTTGTGTTGGCCGTGAGCTCGAATCGAACGCGTGTCGCCGGGTTCGTAGCGCAGCGCGCTAGCCACTACACTACCGCTCCTCTATATACCAACAAAGATCCCCCGTGTAGCCTTAACAGACAGTTGGGGCAAGTGCTGTTAGCGAACACCTATGAAGGCCAGAACGGTACACGAGGGTGTGGATGGCCAGCACCACGCCCGACCGCCTTTGTCTCCCCAGTGGCGATGTTTACACACCGCACCAGGTACTCTTTTGAGGCTGAGTCGACCTAGGGGAGGCCCAGGACCGGTTCAGATAATCGTCACACTGGTGTTGGACGTGAGCGGGATTCGAACCGGGGTCGCCGGGTTTGTAGCGCAGCGCGCTAATCGCTACCGCTCCCCATATTCGAACACACACGTGCACACGCACTCCATAGCGAATGAGTCGTGGGCGCATTTGGACTGTCCGCAATAAATAACGCGCCGCCGCTGCCGCCGCTGCTGCTGCTGTGCGCCCTATCGCTCACGTCGCGGTCATCCAATTTGCCTGTAACAGTGGCACTTCAAAGGGTCTTGCTTTGTTGGCGCGGCCGACGGGCCAGTCACTGCTCGGCGAAAGCCGAGAGGCATGCGTCTTGCGGGAAGAGGTGCTCGCGGTTCTAAGTGATTACAGAACTCACAGTGCGTGGTGGGAGGGGGAAGGTTTTTTGGCGTGTGCGGGGAGGAGGTTGGAACGACTCTCCGCCCAACCACCACCACCACCACCACCGCCGCCCCAAACTCCCCCATCCCCACTCTGCTTTGCCCTGGCCGCGTGCGCAGTGGCAAAAATACTCCGAACGCA